ATCAGAGCTGCCCTCCTGCCTTTCCTGCTCCTTCTTCGCTGTGTCTCTGGAGCTTTGCTTCCTCTTCTGCCAGGGGTACCACACACTTACAACTAAAGCGTGGGCTTTCTCTTATCCTCTGGTCTCAGCTGACTTCCTGCCTCTGCTGTCACAGAGAGGTCTGCCATGCACTGTCCCAGCTCCTGTCCCCCTTCCTTCCACTGCATCAGGGGCTCCCCTTTTTGCTGCTGGCATTGCCCCCACAGTGGGGTGCAGTCTTGTCTCTCCCTGCCGCACTGCCCAGCCTCTCTGGCCAGGCAGGGCACCTAGTGTGGGATCCACCTCTTGAGGGTGGCTCAGCACTGCATAGGGACCCCCTGAGCCTCAAACATGCCCCCAGGCTGGGGGCAGTGCTTCTGCATGGGCACCCTGTCCCCCTCTTGGGCAACGAAGAGGGAGAGCTCCAGCCTCCTGTCCCTGACATGAGCACCCATCCCCACTGCCCTGGCCAGTGCATCACGCTGGGCTGCCATCCCCAGCACAGACTCTGCAGGCTTCGTAGCCCTCCCCTTGCTCCTCCTGTGCCCCCATTCCTTGTCCCCTGGAAGAACCAGTCCCCACCCAGTGTGCTCCCTTCTACCCATCTGCTACTTGCTGATCCTGCACTGCATTGGGCAAACCCTCAGGAAGAAGTTCCCAGGGGTGAATCTGGGGACAGGCGAGGACAGGAAGGACAGACACAGCCCACACACAGGAACCAGACCCACGCTGTGTGTCACAGGGTCTGTCTCCTACAGCCACAGGCTGGTCCTGGCTTGGACCAAAGCCTCACACTTGGACCCACTGCTGGTACCTTAGTGGAGGCAATGAGACAGCTTTATCACCAACAGTTGGTTCTAGTTTAGCGGTGCTGAGCATGTTGCTTGGTGGAGACACAACTGTCCCTGTCCCTGCCTTGAGCCTGGCCCTGAACCCTGTCCCCGAACCCTGGCCCCCAACGGTGGGTCCCTGCCCTGAGCATCACCCAAGCTGGGCTCTGGGCTGCCAGGGGTCCTGTGCAGTTGCTCCCCTGCAGAGAACAAGACCTGTGGTTCCCCATGTCTCTGCCTTGGAGCTGCCACCTCCATCCCCTCCACACACGTGGTGGCTCTAGGGCAGGACTGTGCCCACTTGACAATGCCCTGGATGGGGCACTCTGGGGATGGGGCTCTCACCCTTCAAACCCACCAAGAGCAGACAATAAACAAGGAGGGGGGACCCCAGTGGGTGGGAGCTCAGCCCTGGCCCCTGTACTCCCAGTAGGAAGAGCAGATGCTGGGTCCATAGCTGGACCCCCAACTCAATTCCCTCCAACCAGCCAAACTGCTGAGTCTGCAGTGGGGGGTTTTACCATGGGAGGTTGAATCGAGCTGTGAGTTCCTGGTTCATGCCTGCTCCTTGCTCCTCATTTTGGTTCCTTAAACAGCTGAAGCAACTCTTCCCTATGGTTTTATGGAGGGATGTTGGTGAAGCTGGTTGTGCCATGAAAAGTGGGGTGTGGCATAACCCCGAGGAGGATGGAGGTGGCCACGCTGCTCTTCCTGATGTAGCTGCTGCTATCAGCCACCCCATGGGACACGAGAACATGGGAGGAGCAGTGTTTTTGTGCGATTTCAGCACTATTCAAGCACCTGCTTTTTGGAAGCACAGACCCTGGGAAATAATGGGAGCGATGAGAAAAGGAGCCCAATGTGAGCACCATCAGCATCGGCAGCCACCAGCACCCCAGGCAGTGCTGACAGACAGACAGACACCTGCAGGACACCCAGGCTTTATTGCAAACCTGTCACCAGTTGGCAGCTCCAGCTCAGCAGACACAGGCTCTCTGTGCCCCAAACCTTCCCCTCTCCAGTGCAGGGGCTGCCAGGAGGGGCTGAGGCTTCACAGGGAGAGAAGCCTCCAGAGCTGAGCACATCCTGGTGCAGGGTGGCCGTGATGGGCGACACAGCCCCAGCAGGGTGGGGGGTAAAGGGGCAGGAGGGTGTCTCTGTGGCTCTGGGAGGGGTGGGCAGCCCAGCGCCCTGGTCCCAGCCGTCTTGGAGAGCTGCAGGTTTTCCCGGCCATGGTTCCTGCATCGGCTCCTTACCCAGGCAGCCACACACACACCAGGAGCAGCGCCACGGCCACCTTCACACCAGGGATGAGCAGCAGGAAGATGATGCTGAGCTGGGACCTAGGTAGGAGAAAGGAGATGGTGCTAGAGCTTGAGTCTGGGCATTGGAGATGGGGACACTTGCACATCTGCCCTGCCTGCCCCTGGAATGCTCCTTGGGGCTGCTGCAACCAAACCCGG